GCATCTGCAAAGTAAGCTGCAGGTTCCTCAGTTCTATAACTCAAAATCTAACATTCCTGTTCAAAAGTGCATATGCCTCCTCCAGAGGAGCTAGGTGCACATAAATGAAACAAAGCATTTTCATGAAGGCCAAGCTGAATTTTTGTGCTTGACTCTTATTTCAGTGAATCCAAGTAACCTTACCGTTCGATTCGTACAATACCGCCCACAGAATGCAACATGCGTGATTCGCGGATTTCCTCGAGATTCCAGGAATTACGCGAAATTCCCGGAATTCTGCATGCTGTATACCAAAATATTCGCTTTAATGAGCTGAGCACGTTTTTTTTGTATGCAGCATATATTGGTTTCGTAGGAAGTCATGGCGCTGCGCAGTTTGTGTGATTCGCGTGATTTCGCGAAGTTTGCGGAATGTCGCGGAATCTCCGAAATGTTGATTTCGCACGGTCTTTGCGCGGTATTGTACTGTGCTACGAGACTGAAGACTCTAGAGATCTGTGTTCAAAATAATAGAGTCTGCAAAACCGAAAATTGGTTTCCTGGAAACTACGAGAGATCTTCTTGAGAAGGCAAACAGTTACGGCTTACTAACGGATCATCTTGTCGTAAATGTAACACATTAAATTATGTATGCTACATATTCGTTTCGCAAACACACATTTAAAAAAGTCGTCCTATTCGTTTCTATCTTGAAACTGTTTCATATGCTAATAGAAAAAATTCTTTCACCACATTATCGCAAGTAGTTTGATCTTTCTTTGTCAATATCGTTGGGGGCATAGGAGCATATGATGCAGGAAAATTCCAGGCATATGGTTGAACCTTTAATGCAGCATTTAAGTCGATTTACAATCACATTTAGTAAAAACCTTTTTTGTATTAATCACGTAAAAGGGAAAAGCCAGTCAGCTAGAAGAATGCATTTGCGTAACAGCAAATTATACCACAGAACTTTTGATTCTCAGAAAACAGTTTGCATTTATTAAGTCTGACCACAAGCGTTCGCAGAGATTTGGACAAATGGTGCGGCATTAGATGGGAATTTGAAGAGCCAATGATGTTGATGTTTATGATGTTTATGGTAACTGATAGAGTGCAAACGGTGCTGATCTACAGATCGGTGAAAAAAGTACATAACGCCGCAACAACAAGATGAACTATCAGATTGATTTTAAGATTGATTTTCTTTGCATCATCTGCTAGATCATACCTTGTATAGCATCACTGCTTTTTCTAACCCAAGTGAATTTCAAGAGATAGAGCTAATATTTTGCTTTTATTTGAAGAAGAAATATAGCTAAAATCAACAGAACATTATACTTTCTCTTTTCATCTATTTCCTTTTTTGATGGCTTCTGTAAGTTCTATTCTCAGCAAGTACTCACTCGTTTTTTATCTGGACATTAACAAATTTTAAAAAAGTCGGAATTACATTTTGACTTTTGTGGTCCTATAATGTTCTCATTCTAGAATGAAACCCTAGTCAAGCTTCAATCTCTATATATATAAAACTCAAAGTGTGTTTGTCTGTTAATAAGTATGTTTTTTATACAAATCTTTCTGAGTGGACCAAATGAGTTAAAACTTTGCACGCTTATGTTTTGGACCCCGGCGCGGAACATAGGCTACTTTTCGCGGCGATTTACTAGACCCTTCTATTGATTTGTTGATTTGTTTACTTACATCTGGGAAAATGAGGCTTGAAATGCTCAAACCAATCATTTTGCTATGATCATGTAGTCAGGGGATGGTAAAGCTCATTTTAATCTCAATGTCGGGAAAAGCGGGTAATTCGTTTCAGCCTTTTTGCGCAGAATAAGCTTAAAAGCATAAGTATAAGTAACTTCTTTTTAGCTAAACTGGAGTCCCGAGTGAAACCGGGATCGCCGGCTAGTCATTTAATACAACAGCATAACTGAATCCAGCATTCATTTCTCGAAAGAATTTACCGAATGAGGTTTGATAAAGTGACAAAGAAAAATTCTCATATTTTGGGATGTAGCAAAAGTTTTGCAGTGGCAGAAAAAAAATTTAAAAGGGATTGAGAGCTTGGGAAATTATTTCGCTATAAAGTATACATGCCGGCGATACTAAATACAATATTATTTTCACTGCACGTAGACACTTTTCCTCTTGTAGCTGATGACCGTTGTATGACTAACGGACCATACAATACCGCCTTTCCTAATTGGCTTCATACTGGTTTTATAAATTAGTCATTCAACAGGCTTTACGTGACTTTCGATGAATCTCTCTTTCCTTTCTTTTGTGGCCTCTGCTCCGGTCTTGTTTTTGTAACGAATTCCCTCAACTCAATCATTAGAAAAGATTGGTATCAAGATCAGATGAGAGAAATGCAGTGTAAGAATTTAAAGTTATGTGACTTTCATCTAGTGAAACCTTACTACAAAAAAAGGCAAAAAAGTTCGTCAGAAAGTTTTGCGCGTGTTCATTGCCCTGTGAGGAACTTTAGTACGGCACCAATGAATGATGTTGTACATATTTGTTGAAGCCAAACAACAGATTTGTCAATTCTACCCAAATTTGATCCAATGCAGATTCGCATACGGTTTGTCAATCTTAGTGGGGTCGATTTTCAGGATGTTGTTTTTTATAAAATTCTAGTACTGGAATGGGATCAAAATTTTTGAAGACCCTGTGCACGCCGATGGGTTATTTTTCGCATAGCTAGCAAATTGCCATTGCTGCACACACGCAGCGCAGACCCTTTGCGCAGCGGATGCACGGCTGCGCGCCGATGTCTGCGAATCCCGGTCTGATAAGATCATACTAGACTGAATTTTTCATGAATCCATCGAAATTAAAACAAGTCTGTGAAACTTCATATGTTCTCTGTTCGTAAAACCTGAGCGTAATATCTTGGTCCATACTTTTTTTCATTAGAGTCAACAAAATGATGCGCCGTAGTTACTCTCACTCGCCTCTGTATTGCTATAGGGATGATATGGGAAGTGGTAGTGAAGGTGCTGAAAAAAAATGATGCTGAAGAGTAAGAATTAAGGACTACTGAGCTCCCAGCTTTTTTTCTAAATTCTCCATTGTCATCATAGCGTAAGAATAGAATTTGATAAAATTTAATTTACGCAACGCATACGGCAACTTATCGTGTACGTTGGCTGCCCCCCCCCATGGGAATTTCTGGAACTTCAATCAAATTGCTACTTCTTTGTAATTTTAATTATTAGGTTGGTGCGAATGTAATGCGCGTTTTGCGAGTTCTCACTTTGATGTGCTATAACTTTCTAAAAAATCCATATTTTTCAATGCTGCAAAGTTCGTCAGAGGCATCAAACCTCTCTCTATACAGAGCATATTAAGTTATGTTAACATCGCAAATCGGTGGGAAAATATGGATTGTTAAGCAAAAAAATCTTTTTTCGGAAACCTCATCTTTAACTGATCATAACTTCCTTCGGGATTTGTCGGTATAAATGATAAGTTGACTGTCTTGTAGCCGCAAGCTAGTAGTACAAAAAAAGTACAAAAGGGTTCAAATGAAGAATATTTGCGAAAAGGAAAAAAATAATATTCAAAATTGTCCGCTTTTTTCGACATTTTTTCGTAGCCCTTAAAATCCCAAAATATGGAGATTTTTGATTTTTTATGCACTGAACAGCTTCCACATTTCTGCAAAAACTGTCAACAGGAGGGCCACCCTTACGCTTACAGAAATGAGCAAAACTTTGGCGATTGCCCTCTTCAAAGAAAATCTATGGGCCACAGAATGGCCAAAACCATCACTCATGTTGAGGCGCTGAGATCTCAGTCTAAGTAATTTCTAGGAAAACAGTAAAGCGTGCGTAACGTAGAAAATTTCCACTACATACAGTAGTTAAATTTTCAAAGAAAGCATTTACTCGCTTTTGAATTCTGGCCGAAAAAGTAAGTGCAATGAAATTCTGATTTTGAGTGCGGTTGTATGAAGCTCTATAAATTTTTGATGAATGAGGCTAGAAGCCTCCTTCAACCACCGTTGAATAGAGCATGAAAGAATCTTCTAAATAATATGCTGGGTAAGTTTTATAGGAGAAACCTCGATGGAGAAAAGCTATCTTGAAACAAGGGCTAGAAAAACGCGCATTACTTTTGCACCAACCTAATACATACTTCACGTGAAGAAAGCGAGTACCGAGAAAACGCATTCTTTGCTTGAAAAATTAAATGCCTTTTTTCATTCGCGATATCATCAAGCCCTTGGATGTTGCGATGTATAGCAGTGATAATGTACGATGATTTATTGTCTCTCATACTTTGCGTCATGTACTGGCTTAAAAAAATTTTATGAGCAAAAATTAGTCTTGTCTCTGGTACATATAAACCCTCCCGGGCCTCTAGAATCTTGTACATCATAAACTCCTGTCTCTTACCTTGTCGCTCTGTTCCTGCTTTTATCGTAGTATTTTCAAGGGCTTCTGAATTTTTTTGGTTCATCTCTGTGTGTAGAAAATTTAGTAAAATAAATGAATACAGCAGACAGCACAAACAAGCTCGGATGACGTCATCAATGGAATTCTTCTCAAAACGATTTGATTTTCGAACGATGTATTATATTTCATTTCTCAATGCAGTAAGAAATTTCATAATATGAACTGGAATTTTCTGGTCAAAACAACAGATTGTTCCGCAATTCACGGCCTTGTATTGTTGGAAGTAAATGATTTTAAGTGGGCCAAAACTATCCGTTTAGCAGCCTATTTCGTAGGATTAGTATATAAGTATTTGACGTTTTCATTAGCTCATTATTCATCGAACTTCCTTGATCATTCTTTTGTGCGCAGAGTTTTATTGCTACCTTTTTATGACCTTTTCGTTCATTATCGCCTTATTTTATGTTTGAACAATCTCCATGGCGCGACTCCTGTTCCTTTGATATGCTGTCATAGTGATATAGTTGTTCTACTTTCGTTCATTTACACATCATTCGCGTAAATCTATTCCCGATCCGTTCCGTTCTCTTTTTGCTAGTCATTATCATTTAGATGCCGGCATTAAATCCAGAGTCAACAAAATCAGGAGCTTCAAACGGAGTGCATAAAGGTTAGTTACACATTGAGGGTCTCTAACTCTCTGCGCTAATTAAAGAAAAAATCGTGTGAGGTCATATTTAATAGGCGTACAGGCAAATATTTGATCATGGATGGAAAATTTTGATTCATTTGTTGTGCTGCTTTGTTGCAGTAACGTATGCATCTGCAAAGTGATATCGATAAGACATTTACAAGGAAAAATAACTGGCAGTTTTCATTTCCGTGTGCTTTTCTGTAACAACTGTAATTTTCAAAGTATTCAGAATTCTGTGATGCAAACATATCTAACGATTTTGCAACTGGTAAATAATTTTTCAAGCCATTGTTTGGAATCTATAGTATGCATATTTTCCACAATTTTGATTGGTCGTAAAACAGTTTTTGAATTTTTTAGCTAAAATCCTCGTTCACTCCTGCTTGATTTTTCTTTATTTACTATCCTTATCTTTATCTCATACACGTGAACGTGTTCCAAAATCAGTGTGAGTATCGAGAACTGCTAGAGTAAGACTGCTAAGGTTCTGTATTCTTATCATAAATTATTTGCTTTAGAGGTGTCTTGGATGGCTTTCTTTCAGGGGAAAAAAAGATTCTTGACCAAAACCTTCAAATTCATGGAAAATCCGTCATTACCCATCAAAAAGACCTATCATCACTGTTCTGAAATCTTGCAAAATGTTCAAAACTTTGACTTTTCCGAGTTGTGATCGTACACTCTCTCATGGTATGATCCCTACTAATGCTATTCCATTTCATCGATATCTTGCACACATCTCGAGGATTACTCAAAGGAAATTCGAAAAGCGTAACGCAACTTTTTTCAAGTTTTTTAAAAATAGATAAGTAATTATTCCTCAAGGAGAATCCGATAACAATAACTTGAGCAGCATTGCTAGACGTTGCATTCTTATCAAAGTTGAAATTTATGGAAGAACATCATGTGGGCCTAATGCATTCTTCCTATAGTAGCGTTTGTTCTCAAAACATTTTTCCGCAATTATTTGTTGACAGTCAAGGAAAGATTTTCATCCATTTCACCCATAATTTGTCGGCCAAAGTACAATCAAAATTCGTCAGTTCATATCGTGGAGACATTTTTGATGAAATCATTGTTGCATTCATTTACAAAGAATTTGTTCACTTATAACTTCACTAGCTGGCTTATCCGGCTCCGCCGTATGTTCCGAATAGAAAATTCCATTTCTTAACCGATCCGGACCAAACTTGGCACACATACACTTCGGGGCCGGCGGGTGTCACAGTCCACTTTTCGTTATCGATCGATGTAGATTTTATCGATTTTTTGCTTTGAGCTAGGGGGCTGGAATTTGGCAGAGGGGTGTAATCGAGCGCATGCTCGATTACCCTCCTGTGCCAACTCCCAGCCCCGTGGCTCAAATTTTGCAAAAAATCGATAAAATCGATATCGATCGATGACGAACAGTAGCCTATGACACAAGCCGGGGCCCGAAGTGTATGTGTGCCAAGTTTGGTCCCGATCGGTTCAGAAATGGAATTTTCTATTCGGAACATACGTACATACATACATACATACATACATACATACATACATACATACATACATACATACATACATACATACATACAGACAGACAAACAGACATTCAGCTATATATATAAGATTTGTCAAGCTCGCAAGTTAGCCATACTTAAGTGAATCAAAGTTTTTTTTTACTAAAAGTCTTTTCTTTTCTTTCCTTTGACAATAAAAAGGCGTTGTCTCTTGCTTTGAGCAAAATAAATTTGGTGTATCTTTCTGAACTGCAAGTTTTTGGCGTACACTACCATACCTTTCTCATAAGCCTGAAAAAAATTTCGCTTTCGCATTTAGCTGGACGATAAAGCAAATTTAAAAAATTCGTCCTTTTGCGTACTCTTTGTCCAGGTAGGGACTATGGATTTCGTTCAACAATTATGTATATTCTAACTGAATTCGAGAATTCGGCCTATGCGAAATTTGAATGAATTTTCTTCTCGACCAGCAAAAGAATAATTTTTTGACAAGTGGACTAAGACACAAACAGTAATGTCGAAGGTATACTCACTTCTCCTGGCCATGTTCAGTGCTTGTCTGTCTCTACACCAAATTTTTTGTTTCATGTTAGTTCAAATTTTTACTGCTAAGTATAGTAGCATTAACTTTTCATTGCTCCGAGATTAGCAGTCAGAAAAAATTTGTAGGATAAACATTGATTCATGCAATCATTCGCTTTGTGGTCAATGAAGAAATTTGGCCCTCACGACCGTTTTACATTTTTTTTGTGCTTAGCATCAGCATTTTTCTAATTTCTTGAAGAGCGCAGTGGGTGGAAACGGAACCTCCACGTGCATGATTATCCTCTTTCACTAATCATTTGAGCAATCGAAATGCGGCGAATAAGTTCGTCCGCCTCCAAGTAGCATTCGACTTGCTCCCTGACTCCTTCACCTGATGGATGCGTCTAATTTAGAGCACAAAATGTCATACCCTGAATTTGGACTTCGGAATAAATATCTAGAGGACGTCAACGATGATTTTCTCTACCATTTTGGCATAGGAATCAAGACTGTGGACATGCCGAAAGTATTCGGTGACACGAAGGTAATAAAAATTTACTTAAAGTTCAAATTTTTTTATTCTCCTTTTCTTTGTTTTCAAATGACAATTCTTTCATGAAAATGCCTCCGTTTCTTAAAATTTTCAGCCTCTGATAATTTTTCTAATTAGAATAAGGATATTTAGATCATCTTTATTCCAATTCCCTATGTTTTTGATTGTTTTTTGACTGTTTTCTCGTGAAAATACTTTTGTTCTGACAAATTCTCTCATTTCCTTCTCCTCCTCTATAACTTCCGATCTGTAGTCAAGAAGCCGAATTTCTCTAATCAAAAGGTTATTTATAATTTTTCAGTTCCTATTTGTTCAGATAGAGACAGTAGCCGTAATTTTTAGATTCATCTCTTGGGATCAATCTTGCAAAAGAAATTATTTGCAAATTGTTTTTCCAAAATTAGACAAACTATAACATTGTACCCATTCCGACTGCAAAATTTACTACCATTTTTTTCAAGAAACTTTATGCTCTTCCCTTTCTTTCCTACCCCATCGTAACCTAAAATAATTCTTACAGTTTGTTTGCACTGGTGGTTCTCCTACCAGGCTGAAGCTCTATGCGGAATGGTTTGCGAAAGAGTGCAATCTTGAGTGCAGTGAGAATCTCTCCAAAAGCGACCGCTATGTCTTGTATAAAACCGGAAAAGTTGTTTGGGCCAATGTAGGTTACATATGCAATACCCCTATCAAGAAAACCAAAAAAAGATTTTTTTAGCACGGTATGGGAACGCCTTCATTGAGTATCATGCTTATCGAGATGTTGAAGTTAATGCATCATGCCAAAGCAGAGGATGTTAAGTGGGTTACAACTCTTTTGCGAAAACTTGCCGATAAATATTCTTGAAAAGTGCATTATTTACAGATTTATCCGATTAGGAACCTCAGGAGGTGTCGGCGTCGAACCGGGTACAGTTGTCGTCAGTACAAACGCCATGAATGGTGAACTCACTGATAAATATGTTCAGTGGATTGCTGGGAAGAGGGTAAGACTAGTTTTTGTTTCGAAAATAATGCTTTAAGCAACGTATAATTTCCTTCTAGGTAGAACGAGAAACATGGCTTGATGAAGATTTACGAAAAGAGCTCCTCGCCCTTGCCGCTGAGATGAATATTCCTGTGGATACTGGTCTGACATTATGCGCTGATGATTTTTATGAAGGTAATTTTTGAGAATATATTGAAACAGTTGAGATATTCTCACTTCGCATTTAGGTCAAATGCGTCTCGATGGATTTTTCTGTGATTACAAAAAGGATGAAAAATTCGAGTTCCTCAAGAAGCTTCATGAATTAGGCGTTCGAAATATTGAAATGGAAAGTACATGTTTTGCGTCAACGACATACCGTGCCGGAGTCAAAGGTTAGAAAACGCTCAAATTCGACAAAAAGACGTTGAAAGCAGTGTTCGGGCAGATACGATGATACGAGAAAAATCTAGACAATAGCCTATTTACTAGGGATTCTGCTTAAAGGTAGCGTTCCCGCAAATTAATGGGTACCAGAATTTTACAGTGTTGCAATGGTAGACCCTTCAGCTAGTCTATCAGTGAAGTTTGGAACAAAAAAGCGCTTCTAGAAAGCCCAAAATCCTCTTCGGAAATCTCTCCGTTCCTGTCGACTTCTTCTACGTAATTTGGAGCAAAGGCGGACATAGAGAGCTTCGAAAAAAAGCTCATTTTTGCCATTTTCAAGCGCTGAAAAGCTCTATGGCTTTAGCATGGCGAAAAGGCTTCAAGAGGTGAAAAACAGGAGAGCGAAATTTTAGCGGGACACTACCGCCTTCAAGAGGCATTGCATCCATTTGCCTCTAAAAAAACTTCAGAATGAAAGAATTGGACGCTTTTCGTGCACAAGTAGTCGACGTCACAACGACTTGGAACTGCATTATGTGTCGGGACAATGCTGCCAGAGACAGCGCTTAGGCGGAGCACGCATCTGCAGGGAATACGCGGTAGCTCGAGCGCGACACATCCTGATGTCCGGACGCGGATGGAGCGCGTTATCTCGCAATACTGCTTTTGCTATATCCTTACTTGTCTCACATTAACGAAGTATACACATTCAAAACTAACAGTTTTATTACTTCTAAAATGATAGACAGGCTTAATTGGGAACTTCGTAGCAGTCAAGAGATAGGGTCTTGCAAGGACTGTGGGTTTTAACCTCGGCTTTATATGCTTCAGATTCGAAATCAAGGGCTTGAAAGTCTAGAAAAGCTCGTTTGCGAAGTTTTGAAGCTTTCTAAACTGCATTTTCGGAATCAGGGGAAGTACAAGCCCAGGTAGGCGAAACAGTCTTCGAGACTTTACGCGGACGCTGTCTTCAGGTAAAGTTTGTCCCAGCTTTGAGGCACTGTTTAAAGGCAGTGTGCGGAAACTCGATTTTGAGATTTTGTGCTTACCCGGGCCTATTCGCTGCGCTGAATCCGAAAATCCACATTGGGAAGCGCGAAAACGGCGAAAAAGGGCTCTAATATAGGAGGGAAATTAGCAGGTGGGCGGGGCTTTCCCCAGTGCGATTTCACACTCCCAGCTCCCGGAGCGATTTTTTCGATTCCGCTAGCCGTTCTAACATCGCCACCGGCCAAATGCGAATGATTGACTTGAAACCGGAAGCGAGAAGGTCGCTCCGGAAGCCGGAAACGTGAATTCGCGGTGGGGTGGACCCCGCCCACCTGCTCATTTTCCTCCTGTGTTAGGGCCGTTTTTCGCCATTTTCGCGCTCTACAATATGCATTTCCGTAGCGTATTAGACGTAAGCGTAGCGAATAGGCCCAAGTGAGCACAAAATCTCAAAATCGAGTTTTTGCCAGGACACTGCCTTTAATACATATGGTCGAGGCTCCCAACCTACTAAGTCCGTCTTACTTGAATTGACTGTATTCAAAAACGATGAGTTACTTTTTTTATCAAGCTCTGGAAACTTTCTAGAAACAAGGCTCAAAGGCTTTTCCACTTTTCACGTCAAGAAGTTTTCGTAATACCTGCAGTTTCACTTTCAGCATTAGTTCAACTGTTCCTACCACATTTTTATTATTCGAGGACTCATGATGTAAAGAGATGTAATTCCGCAGTCCTTTCTATGTATGCAACTCCGTAGTTTCCTATAGTGTCCTCGACATTTGAATAAAATGACGATTATAAAGCGCAGGGCATGAGAGGACAAAGAAGTGACGTTGTGACGCACTCAAATGTAGTGATAACGCACTATCACTTTTCGAATGTTTCAGTGAAGTAGTAACAACTCAACATCAAAACTGCTTGTACCTTTTCCTGAAAACAGGAGAAAAAAACGAGTTTTGCAAGGGTATTGAGCAAAAAATCTTCTCTGCAACATCAGTGTATTGCGTTTAGTTATGAATCGGTATGCTCTGCGCCCCTTCACCTATTGGTCCACTGCCATGCGCCGTAATTCCCACCCGGAGTTCTTGCCCCATGGCACTCTGAGAAAAGGATTGTATAAATGTATGATCGGTTTTCAATTTGTATGGAGGTTTATAGCAGACTTTGCCTGATAACTCAGGTCAACTTGTTATACCCCCACGTCATAGCATTGCTTTTGGTACTCTCTCGCTAGCAAAAACCGCCACGCGGTGAGTTGGCAAGACTCCATCTCCACACGAATCTGGAAGCCAGACTCCAGCTGGGTATCGTGCGCGGTGCGCTGATCGCTCCGCCCCTTTGTTAATTGGCCTAGGAATGCGTTGCAGCCATTGGAAAAATGACAATCATGCCTGAGGTGTTCTAGATTGATTTCACACTTCAAAATTATATCAAGGAATCACTCGGTCATTTATAGGTAAATCAGCAAATCTCTTGAGTTTCACGATCAACACATCAGCTGTTCATTGACTAGCAAAAAAGAATTAAGAAATCAAAACAAGATTCTGTAGATGGCCAAGCTTCACCCCAGCTTGCAACAAACTTATAGCTCGCTATCAGAAGTTGCTTTCACTCGACTAGGGAACATGGCCATGAAAAAACAGTGCTAGAGCTGTACTGCAGAGAACTCGTCCATCTCGCGGGCGGGTCTAACGGTGCGCACCTTATTGACACACGCGTGCCTAAGCTCAGATAATCGCGGGGGGCAGGCGGTCCGCAAGCTCGCATTTTCTTGCAGGCGGCCAGCAGAATTTTGGTGCGTGGTCAAACCTTCAGCAGGCGGTACCTCATTTACTGTCGAATGTCCTGCTAGCGGGACAGAATACAGAGTTTTCTGCGGGCGCTCGTCAAATAATCTCTTTCAGCGAGCGCTGGCCAAACTTTCAGCAGGCTCTCGGACTCTTTTTAAGCAGTTTTGGGCGTACGTCGAGCAAATGTGAGACTCTATGCTGCAGAGGTGTCATCGATGGTATAATTACTCAAGTTTGAGTTACTTTCTCTTAGCGGAAAGTACCTGAGGGCTGCGCGGTCCTCCACAAAGGACCGCGCGGCCCTCAGTAATTTTGCATATTCTCGCGGAAAATCCGCGAGAATGCGGCCAATGCTCCGCAACTAATACATAAGAAAACCGCGATAGTTATCCGAGCATTCGCCTGAAAATTAATCAGCATTCTTCCAAATTTCTGCAGGAGCCGCAAGAAATCAGCGAACTATTTTTCCCGTGCCCGCTTGCTCAAAATTCGCATGGCCGCATGCTCCCGGCGACTATCTGAGAGCGCACGCTATCGTTCATAAAGTACCCTCGCCTCCGCCGTCAAGCAGCGCGACATTGTGCTTGTGGCAGAACGTTGAGGAGCGGTCGCTCGAGAGTCGCCACAAGTCGTGCTCTGCAAGTCACGATTCAGAGGAACAAACTGTCTCACAATTTTGTTCTATCTTCTTAAGCCATACACGAGATTGGTAATCGATTTATTTGATCCACGGCTAACGTTTCGGCAGATCGCCTTCGTCAGAGCCTGTAAGGGACAATACGATTCGCACCCAATTCGAACCGGTACCTCCACAGCTGAACAGACGAAATGCTAGATCTCGTTTTCGATCACTAGTTCAGCTGCACGGTCAAGCACGTACCCTTTGGATTACGCCGATACTCCTCTTCAGAGGAAAAGTTGGGTCACGTCGTCCGGTGATAGAGAAAGTTGGACTTGTTAGACGTGCATGCAGACCGCTACTTATATACTACCAGATCAGAATAACTGATCTAGATAAGGAGAAAGCTCATGTGTAATCGCTAGGTTTTCCTCTTTTCGGTTCATTCTTGGGTTTCTGGCATGAATCCAGAACGCTTCTAAACACTTACGTGCTTGTGTCTGGGATTCATAGGCCAAGATTCTCACAGAAATCTCAAAGTTTGATCCTGCATGTTGCGCTACTCTGTGGGTGCCTAGGGGTGTCGATGTACGTGCCTTATCTCTGCCGTCTATATATAGAATAACTGATCTAGCGATTACACATGAGCTTTCTCCTTATCTAGATCAGTTATTCTGATCTGGTAGTATATAAGTAGCGGTCTGCATGCACGTCTAACAAGTCCAACTTTCTCTATCACCGGACGACGTGACCCAACTTTTCCTCTGAAGAGGAGTATCGGCGTAATCCAAAGGGTACGTGCTTGACCGTGCAGCTGAACTAGTGATCGAAAACGAGATCTAGCATTTCGTCTGTTCAGCTGTGGAGGTACCGGTTCGAATTGGGTGCGAATCGTATTGTCCCTTACAGGCTCTGACGAAGGCGATCTGCCGAAACGTTAGCCGTGGATCAAATAAATCGATTACCAATCTCGTGTATGGCTTAAGAAGATAGAACAAAATATTACTATCATGCCGAGATTTATTGAAAGTCGCACTATTCAATTACTATGTCTCACAATTATTGCTTTACGCGCTAGTCTAATATAGCGTATAATCGTGGCGTACTCAGGATCTTGGTTCAGGAGGGGGGAGAGACGACAAAAAAATTTTTCCGATGAAGGTGCGTGGCGTCAGCCGCGCACTCCGAAAAATTTTTTGGTAAGCTCTCCAAAATTTTCGCGGGCTCAGAACCCCGAGATTTCCGAAAAAGAGGGCGTGAAAAAAATTTATATAAGGCTAAAATGAATTTTTTAAAAATTTCAAAATTATTTTAATTATCTACAAGTACAGACCAGTCATTTACACAATTTTATAACCCATGTAAGTCACTTTTGAAAATTTCGCAACCAGTTCTCGGAGGGGGGGGGGAATCTGCCCCCTCCCCCTCGGTACCCCACTAATATAATATACACGAGTGGGATAACCAGATGATTACGATGTTACAACAGTTTGTTGTAAACCCAATTTTTCCTGATTTCAGCAGCTATCGTTTGCGTCACGTTACTAAATCGAATGAAAGGTGATCAAGTGGTAATCGACCACGACCAGTATATCGAATTTGAAGAGCGGCCATTCCGACTTGTCACAGCGCTCATTAAGAAGCAGCTTGGATATGCTTGATTACTTCCTCTTTATAAACACCCACCAAACTTGTGCACATTGTCTGAGGTTGTGTTACTGTGATTTATTCTTCACTTCTAAGTCAATTATTTCACTTTTGTTTGCTTTGTTCCTTGTTGCTATACACCAAAAACTGGTGATATATGAAAGCTGATATAACATATGCATGTTCGAGAAGGCAAGCCATCATACGCAGAGAAAGTGTGCTATTATGAATTCATCTGCGTCACCATGCTAGAGCGCAATTTACCCCTTCAAATTTTGCTGCTTTTGAAAACCAGGTTTCTCAGCCTATCATAACGTCCAATCTCTGCGTGCGTTGAATGCTTTGCAAATAGTGTTAGAACAGGGTCAATGATTAGGGTATAACATTATATGGTATACTGATTTCACTATGTTCGTTTGCAGAGCTTCTAGAATTAAAGTTATTTATCTCAGACGTCCTCTTGTCTTACTGTTACCAATAACAACCTGTATACGGTAGAAGAAAAACCATTGAAGTTAAAAATATTTTTTTGTCGAATGTACCAAACAATAGCACACACATGCAGACTATGACTAAACTCTTCAATGAAGCGCGTGGTTGATGCTTTGAGTCATAGAAAGTTTGTATGATTGCCGCGCTCTGAAACTGAACATACCAATTTTGATTACATTATCTCTGATAAATATCTCTTCCGATAAATAAATTTTGAAAACTGAAAATTATTCAATCTTTATGTTTAAGTTAACAAGATCAAAAAATCGAAATCTGACAAGCAAAAGGAATGTCACTTTGTTACGCGTCAGTATATCACTGCAAAATGACTAGTTTTGTCTCTTTTCGTGCAAGACGTTAGGTCTCCTTGTGAGTAAAAAATGACAGTCTGGAGTGATAACAGAAGCAAATGCCAAGAAGCTGCGAATTCCCTGTTCTTCAAAGTAAGCTTCTCAACTGTTTCTGTAATACTTGAGGCATAACAAAATTTTAAGCCACAAGTTTGAACAGATTGATTTATCGAAATGTTCGTTTCCTCCACCTTACTAAGCGATAAATTTATAGAGTAGCCACTCCCAGATAGCGTTCGGTGTCTTTCATGAAATATCTAAATTACATCTATAGTTAGGGTCGTGCCAACCAGACATTTTGTAGTACATAATACTCAAAATCCGACGTTTCAAAATTTATCTTTTTAGAGGTTGACCACCTCTTGCGTTGCCAGTTTAATCTGCTCGGGAGTGGCAAGCAGCATAAGAAGCTCTGGGACGGACTAACCTTGTACTCACAAAGGAAGGTATATGACTCGCAGTGGAGTTTTCCTATGAGGTGTATATCAGTCGAAAGGTCTTTGAGCGCTGTTAGAACAACATTCCATATCTGCTTATCGATTTACTGAACAAAGTTACAGGCATTTCTTTGGCATTAAATGACTGATTTTGGTTAGCCATTGCAGGATTAAGGCGGCAGAGTAGCTCTAAAACTAATACCATCAATTTTTCTATGCACAGTAAATATATCTCAGACATTTGCGCATGTAACTTTGGACCAAATTCGCATTTACTACGAATTTAGGTCATTTACAAAGTACCCTGCCATGCGAATTGGACGCGGAAAAGTGCCTCTAACTTTTTCAGTAAACCGGTAAGCAGATTTGGAAAGTTGTTATGAAAACAGCGCTCAAAAACCTTTCGAGTGATATACACCTCATAAGGCCCCGGGCAGACTTCACGCGATCTGATCGTCGCGACTGAGTCGCGACGAGACAACTGTTACAACATCATTCCATGCCGATCAACTTGCATTCGGTTGTGATACTTTTCCAACCCGAAATTTTTGAATGTGAAATGAAAATGAATGGAAATCTTGGCGATTAGATCGCGACGATTAAGTCGCGTGAAGTCTGACCGGGGCCTAGGGAAACTCCACTGCGAGTCATATACCTTCCCTGTTCAGCTATTTAGCATGCAGCGAGTCCGCACGTCAGAATTTCAGTGGATATCACTGGGACACTGACTCAAAGCTTTTATGTGCTATACTAGAGCTAATATGGCAAGAGATCACTGCTGATAAACGAACATTTTTGCATTTCTTGCGGAGATCTATGCCGGTCAAGCACTTTTCTAACAAAGATTTCAGTCTCATCTATAACATATGGTGTAACCTGTCCTAAAATGTGCTCGAAGCAGCGTGGATCCCCGCAAGAGATTCAAAAATGAATGACAAGAACAAAGCTTGTCTCTCAACAGTAATCCCTAGCCAATTTTGCTTCTGTGTGGCATGACCGCACCTGAAAGTCCTGGTCAGTATGCTATGGACCGAATCGAATATAATCTCGATATCATCCCATATGTTTTCCCTCAACGTGACTTGGATTGCGTGAATCGGTGAGGTGCCGCCTCGTTTCGGACTTCCGCCACGTTGTGCGCACCTGGCGTGACGTGGCGCTTAAAACAACGCAGCGCAGGCTCTCCCACGTTGTTCTTTTAAATGCAAATATTAGTTTATTCGAATTTTCTCGTATATATTGGATTATTCGCAAAAATTCTATTCGGAAAATGTTTGATATCCTTGTAAAAATTCCATGTTCCGTCCTGTAAAGCACATTAGAGTTAAAGATTGATCGGCATTCGATTATTCGAAATTTTTTTACTTCGAAAGTGTTCGATATCCGATTATTCGACACTTTTGGAAAATATTCCACATATTTCCTTTCGAAAATATTCAAATTTCAATTATTCGATATTTCCGATTTCTAATATATTCGATAATTCGGTTATCCGAAAGATTTCCGCGTATTCCAAAGTATGCCGACCATGATCACGCAGTGACGTTCGTCGACTCTCGACGTAGGACTCGGTTGCATGGTGGATGAGCAGAGTTAGTCTCGTAAGTGCTGAACGTAGCATTGCAGTGCTGAAGGTCACGGGTTCAATTCCACCCTGAGCCTAACATCTGCGGTGAAAACTCTGCTCACAATCAGCGTCAAGCTGCCCTTCCAAAGAAAGGCATGCGACAAGCCGGCTGAGGAACACCCCGTCGCATCTCAAATGCAGACATGTCTCATAAAGTAGCTCGAGTAAAGGCTAGGGCGTCCCCGGAGGCGACGCGCATTCAAGCCCGACGAATGCGAATAGTGGGCGAGGGTTACCGTCTCAGCAAGGTGAAGGGGGACGGCTAAAGCGGCAGGTTCATCAGAAAACGATCCAAGGCATCGCAGACTTTCCGTCTAGTACCACAATATGGGTACACTCACTTCTCGTTCTTGAGAGTAAGCAGATCTTCTGAAGAGACGGCGAGTCGATGTAGCCTGCATACAGGAGACGAAGTGGAGCGGGGCAAAGTCACGCGACATCGAAGATGGTTATAAGCTCCCTATAACGGTGCCATCTGCACCAGAAACGGGTTCGGTATAGCTGTCTCGGAGAATCTAAGGAGCAATATAGTTTACTTTGAGTGCATAAGCGATCGCCTGATGAGCATAAAGGTAGATGCTGGGAAACAGGTTATTTGAGTAGTTACCGCCTATGCGACACGAGTCAGATGCAACGATGATGAAAAAGACGCGTTCTGGCAGGAACTAGATGATCACATCAGTTCAATTTTACTGGAAGAGACACTCCTGCTAGGAGCAGACCTCAACGGACATGTGAAAAAAAGGCGAGGAGAAGCCGGAAAATGTCACGGAGGCCACGGATACGGAACATGCAATGAAGAAGGTGAGCGCATTCTGGAATTCGCCTCAGCCCATGATCTGGTCTTGGCGAACACATAATACATCAAGAAGGATGATCACCTCATTACATCTGCGAGAGGCGACCGACGAACGCAGATAGACTTCTGGGCTATCCGGCAGTGTGACCTCAAAAACGTTAAGCACTGCAAAGTCATTCCCGGTCACAGCTGCATACCTCAACACAGACCACTGCTCATCAAAATTCCAATGGATGGGCACACCAGGAGGACCACAGAGACCACGACACGCATTAAATGGTGGAGATTGAAAACCAACAACATGGCGAAACAAGCATTGTTAACAGCTCTACCAAGCTTGCAAGAGAACCCAGAGCGATGCTGGGCGAGCCTGAAAGATAGAGTCCACGGGGTGGCAATATGGGTCTGGGAAGTACAAAGCCAGAGAAAAGAAGGATAAATAGAGAAACGTGGTGGTGGAACGATGAAGTGCAAAAGCCATAAAGGAGAAGAGGGATGCGTTTAAGCGATGGCCTAAGACAAAATCGGAGGACGATCGCCAGACGTACCAACAAGCCAAACACGCTGCGAAGGCTTCCGTAAAGAATGGAAAATAGGTGTACTTGAAAGAGCTCTACGATCATCTAAAGTCTCGCGAGGGAGACCATGAGATATACTGGATAGCGAGAAGAAGGGCGCAATCCACAAAAAACGTGGAACACTTCCTCCATATCAAAGACAAACTTGGTAGGACGCTAACAAAACTGAGGACATCACCGAGAGATGGAGAACCTACTTCGAAAAATTGGCCATCACAGACCGCACCATCAACTCCATCCCAGAAGCCAGTCCCATAGAAGGACCAGTACCGGCAATCACGGAAAAGGAAGTATGGCTAGCCATAAGAAGAACAAAGAATAGCGAAGCGACTGGCCCAGACGACATACCAAGCGAGTTCTGGAAAATATGTGAACAACCCGGAGCGAAATGACTAATGAGGCTCCTCAGTCAAATCATAAGGAGCAAGAGTATATCTCGCGACTGATACACCAGCACGACGATCCCGATATGGAAGAACAAAGAAGACAGCAGAGTGCGCATCCTACCGACCAATCCGACTAGTGAACCACACTCTAAAAATCTTCGAGCGAATAATCGAAACGCTTGTTCGAGGTATCGTAGAGTTGTAACCGAATCAGTGCGGTCGTAAAGGGAGTAGGTACAACCGACGCAATTTACTTCGATCGGACAGTGATGGAGAAATATAAAGAGAAGCAGAAGGAATTGCATGCAGCTTTCCCGGACCTGGAGAAAGCCCTCGATAAGGCACCCCATGAAGTCATATGGTGGGCCTTACGGAAGCACAGGGTGCCAGAGGAGTATGCTCAGTGGATAATGTTGATCTATCACAACGCTTCTCGCCACGGCAAACAGCTGCAGGGCAATCGAAAGAATTCCAAATCAAGGTTGGAGTACACCAAGGTTCAGTTCTCTCTCCCTTGCTCTTCATCGTTATGATGAACGCCATGATAGAATCGCTCAGAGGTGAACCTCCTTGGACACTTCTCTAAGCAGATGATGTGGTCTTGATAACAAGTACCAGAAAGGAGCTACAAGACGAGGTACAAAAATGGAAAAACAGGGCCACTTGTATGGCCTGAAGCCCAACATCAGGAAGACAGAATATATGGAAGTGGGGAAACAAACTGGTGGTACCATAAGCATCGATGGTGAGAAGCTAAAGAAGACAAAGTCATACAAGTACCTAGACAGTCGCATCTCTGCGGAAGGAGGTTTACAAGAGGAGGCCGCAAGCAGGATAAACACAGCATGGATGAAATGGAGAGGCTTGACAGGAGTTCAGTGCGAATACCAGTGCATCTCAAGTCCCAACTGTACCGGACCATTTATCCGTAGCACTGTTTAGCAGTGAATGCTGGCCGTGTACATGGAACGAGGAGCGCAAGCTCAGTGTCATGAAAAAACGGAAGCTATGATGGACCTTAGGAGTCACATTGAAGGATCACATCTGCAATGACACAATACGAGCGCAAATGAAAGTAGCTCCAGAAAATGCAGGAGAAGTGGTTACGATGGTATGGGCATGTGCGCAGAAGGGATAAAAGTCACATCCCGAAGTTAGCTCTGGCTGTGGAGGCACCATGCAAAAGACCCAGAGGTAGACAGATGGAGCGGATGGACAGAATCAAGTCCGACATGCGAGAACTTGGTATAGACGAAGACCTTGCTTCAGATAGGGCAACGTGGAGACATCTTACAAGAAAAACAGACCCTGCATAAGCGGGACAAATGCGAGGAAAAAACTCGGTTGCATGGTGGATACAAAGCTGGTTTGTTTCAAAGCTTCAAAGCTTTGTTTATGCAGCCTGTACTTCCGAGTAGTCCAAGCTGGTAACGCAAGAAGCCATTCCTGGCGGTATCGTGAACTGATCAAAATGTCAATCATCTACGTCCAGACTTTTGAAACCAATGTTCCGAGACGTCGGCTCGAATTAAGTATCTCCAAGATACCTGGCTGTCACGATGACACTTACTCACGCAACAGCATGCTTACGTTTAGAAACGATAGAGCTTTGAATTATACGTAGGGTTTTTTTTAGAGGAAGACAGCAACTTCTTGACGACGTCGCATTTCAGCACATTTTAGCTCCTACAGAGGGTTCGATCAAGTATGAGTAAGTCCTATTAGCTTTATGTATGCGGAAAGCATTGAGAGCGGTGCACGGTAGTTTCATGTGTAAGAATGCCAGAGATTGATGGAGCCTAGGTATTCAGAAAATATAGTTTTAGCACAGTCGTCGCGTTCTTGGTTGACATACTGATTTAGGCAAATATCCTGAATTCGCTCCACAAAACAAGGATCTTGATAAGGCTGAAAAGGAATTCCTTTTCCATTTTGGGTTCGGAAGGAAGACTATGGATTTGCCGAAAGTTTTTGGCGAAACCAAGATGCGTAGATAGGCAACATCTTGGTTTTTACAAGGTAATAAGTGAACTAAAATACTTTTCAGTTTGTCTGCGCTGGTGGATCTCAAAACAGAATGAAGCTGTTTGCCGAAACCTTCGCCAAAGAGTGTAAATTAGAATGCAGCGAGAACCTCTCCAAGACTGATCGATTTGTACTTTATAAAACTGGAAAAGTTCTATGGGTGAACGTGAGATAGACTGTAATAAAGTGGCTAACTCCCACAGTAAATTCCTATTCAGCATGGTATGGGATGTCCATCGTTGAGCATTATGCTCACTGAGATGTTGAAACTCATGTACTATGCCAAAGCAAAGGACTTCAGGTAAGTCCGTTCAAGGTGTTGCAATTACTATGAGCCTTCATGTAGATTTATTCGTCTTGGAACATGTGGAGGATTAGGACTAGAAGCGGGAGTAGTGGTCGTCTCTAAAAATGCACTCAATCACGAGTTAAACGAAAAGTATACACAATGGGTTGGAGATAAAAAGGTTGGTTCCACAAAGAGAGAGGTAATGGCCTTGTGAGATTACGCCATATATGCGCGAAAAGAGGAATGTCCCAACGGGTCACCTGCAGAGGTTCCCTATCCACTCTGCCGAACTCGCGCAAAAAATACTCTGGAACTTACAAGAAAACTTCTTTTTTTTGTTGTCTATAAGAATTGAGCGTCACAAACTAGCAAGAACAACGTGATATTGATATGAGAGATTATGAGAGACTTCTACGGAAAAACGGAAAAGGACGAAATTACCAGGTAGAAGTGTGTTGAAGTGACATGTCAGAAAGAGAATAAAAAATTCACTGAGAATAGAAAATGATCCAATATTATGGGGGGAGGAGAATTTCTGCCGGAAAACACACAGATGGAGTAAAAAATGGAAAAAGGGAGAAGATGAGGAGCATAAGAGTGGACATACTGCAGTCAAAATTCGCGGAACTTTTGGCTTCACCCGTGGAACTTCGACTGTCTGAGTATTCTAACAAGGGAAAGGTATTTGGTGACCGTGGCCTTTTGCAGCGAACTGTACACCAGTAGATGCGTAAAACACTGATTCCAAATCTATGTTCATTTTGCTGTGCGACTCTCCGAAAGTATTATGGATTTTTGTTTCATATGAACTTCAAGAGATCTAGGCAGTCAGAATCGTCAGTATCCAGGCATTTAAATTCGGATATATCGGAGGCAGTTTTCCTGAGCTTAATGTAAGAGTTCCTTTATACTACGCCGCGTCCTACGGCATGCGCCGGCAGTCGCCGTGAAAATATAAGCGCTCGCTGTGAAGGAACACTCTCGGAGAACACGAACGTGCAGCAGGTCTAGAGATACATCCATGATCGGCGAAGCTGTGCTGTCGTGAGCGTATATTTTCACTGCGACTATAGCGGCGCACGCCGCACGCTCTTTTCTAGTGCTTAAGTGACAATTCCAGTGGTACTGGTGAATCCTGTCATCATGATAATGCAAATGATGGCAAGAAATGTTCATAATTTTCGGAAGAGTGCACAGTAAATATGGAAGGCAGATTTGAAATCAGCGCTTTAAGATACATTCAACGGCGTACGTTTCATTTCGAAGTTACGGTCACAAAGTATACTTCCCTTGTGAGGATCTCCATTAAGACTTAAAATTAAATGCGAAAGAACTCTATCAATTTTCAGTTTGAGCGTGACGCGTATCTCGATGAAGAGTTGCGGAACGAAATCATAGCCACAGCTAAAGAACAACAGATTCCCGTTGAAACGGGACTGACTCTATGTTGTGACGAATTTTACGAAGGTCACTTGTCACAGGCTTTGATCTGAATTGATCGGTAATGTTTAGGACAAATGCGTCTTGACAGCTTTTTGCGTGAGTATGCACCAGAAGAAAGGCATATTTACTTCAAAAAAGCGTACGATAAAGGTGCGCGAAACATTGAAATGGAGAGTGCATGTTTTGCATCCATGACTTTCCGTGCAGGAGTCAAAGGTAAGTGTGGCACCGAAGGTAAAGTGCCGCAAGAACAGTGATTTAAATAACATGGCACTTACAAGTAACTGTTTACTAAGAATAACACGAGAGCATAGCTAAAGTCTGTGGCTCGGCAAATCTTCAACCTAAAAAATTTTTGCTTTGGTAATTTGGGCGCTGATTTCGGAAATCCACCTTAGAGAAAAGAAAAATGGCGAAAAGGAGCATGTATCCAGGCCCTTCATTTTGAAATGTAACAGTAACACGAGTGTAACACTCACCGCTATGGGTAACCAGTGGCCGCCCAAATATGAAAAGATGAATATCGATTCTACCCTGGAGTAGAATCGATATTCATCAAAAGCACTAAATGGGTTCCGGAACCCACTGGGTTGTTCGTTGATGAATACGGCCACAGGTGTCGTTAACACGTTGACGACAGTGCCGCGCAATGGTGCGCGGCAGGCAGTCTGTCCCTGTGGACGACACCGCGCAATGGTGCGCGGCGGCCTTAAATTCAATATATCTGTCCAATCCTCTAAGTTTTTGTTCATATAATCAACATAGGCTCAGATGTACTTCATGTATTAACCCCGCCCCTTTTGACAAACTCCGCCCACTCCTATGCCTCTCACAGGGACCCTTTTTGTCCATAAAAAGCATGGATGAGGCTGTAGATGAACGCAAAGACCTCAAGCAACTTTTAGCCAGCCCCGCCCATCGTCAGGCAAACCTCGCCCCCTAAGTGGCAAGCTCCACCCACTTTTCAAAAGTGGCGGAAATCGCCTAAATCCTTGAAATTTGGGCTATTTCCGACATTTTTGGTCGAGTGGGCGGAGCTTGCCAGAGGGGGCGGGGCTTGCACATTTTATGCTTCGTGCATGGATGCATGCATACATGCATGGGCCACGCGTAAGGATGCATGGAAACGTCTCGTCCACAGGGACAGACCTCAAAAAAATGGCTCGTCGTCAACGTGTTAACGACACCTGTGGCCGTATTCATCAACGAACAACCCAGTGGGTTCCGGAACCCATTTAGTGCTTTTGATGAATATCGATTCTACTCCAGGGTAGAATCGATATTCATCTTTTCATATTTGGGCGGCCACTGGTTACCCATAGCGGTGAGTGTTACACTCGTGTTACTGTTACATTTCAAAATGAAGGGCCTGGATACATGCTCCTTTTCGCCATTTTTCTTTTCTCTAAGGTGGATTTCCGAAATCAGCGCCCAAATTACCAAAGCAAAAATTTTTTAGGTTGAAGATTTGCCGAGCCACAGACTTTAGCTATGCTCTCGTGTTATTCTTAGTAAACAGTTACTTGTAAGTGCCATGTTATTTAAATCACTGTTCTTGCGGCACTTTACCTTCGGTGCCACACTTACCTTTGACTCCTGCACGGAAAGTCATGGATGCAAAACATGCACTCTCCATTTCAATGTTTCGCGCACCTTTATCGTACGCTTTTTTGAAGTAAATATGCCTTTCTTCTGGTGCATACTCACGCAAAAAGCTGTCAAGACGCATTTGTCCTAAACATTACCGATCAATTCAGATCAAAGCCTGTGACAAGTGACCTTCGTAAAATTCGTCACAACATAGAGTCAGTCCCGTTTCAACGGGAATCTGTTGTTCTTTAGCTGTGGCTATGATTTCGTTCCGCAACTCTTCATCGAGATACGCGTCACGCTCAAACTGAAAATTGATAGAGTTCTTTCGCATTTAATTTTAAGTCTTAATGGAGATCCTCACAAGGGAAGTATACTTTGTGACCGTAACTTCGAAATGAAACGTACGCCGTTGAATGTATCTTAAAGCGCTGATTTCAAATCTGCCTTCCATATTTACTGTGCACTCTTCCGAAAATTATGAACATTTCTTGCCATCATTTGCATTATCATGATGACAGGATTCACCAGTACCACTGGAATTGTCACTTAAGCACTAGAAAAGAGCGTGCGGCGTGCGCCGCTATAGTCGCAGTGAAAATATACGCTCACGACAGCACAGCTTCGCCGATCATGGATGTATCTCTAGACCTGCTGCACGTTCGTGTTCTCCGAGAGTGTTCCTTCACAGCGAGCGCTTATATTTTCACGGCGACTGCCGGCGCATGCCGTAGGACGCGGCGTAGTATAAAGGAACTCTTACATTAAGCTCAGGAAAACTGCCTCCGATATATCCGAATTTAAATGCCTGGATACTGACGATTCTGACTGCCTAGATCTCTTGAAGTTCATATGAAACAAAAATCCATAATACTTTCGGAGAGTCGCACAGCAAAATGAACATAGATTTGGAATCAGTGTTTTACGCATCTACTGGTGTACAGTTCGCTGCAAAAGGCCACGGTCACCAAATACCTTTCCCTTGTTAGAATACTCAGACAGTCGAAGTTCCACGGGTGAAGCCAAAAGTTCCGCGAATTTTGACTGCAGTATGTCCACTCTTATGCTCCTCATCTTCTCCCTTTTTCCATTTTTTACTCCATCTGTGTGTTTTCCGGCAGAAATTCTCCTCCCCCATAATATTGGATCATTTTCTATTCTCAGTGAATTTTTTATTCTCTTTCTGACATGTCACTTCAACACACTTCTACCTGGTAATTTCGTCCTTTTCCGTTTTTCCGTAGAAGTCTCTCATAATCTCTCATATCAATATCACGTTGTTCTTGCTAGTTTGTGACGCTCAATTCTTATAGACAACAAAAAAAAGAAGTTTTCTTGTAAGTTCCAGAGTATTTTTTGCGCGAGTTCGGCAGAGTGGATAGGGAACCTCTGCAGGTGACCCGTTGGGACATTCCTCTTTTCGCGCATATATGGCGTAATCTCACAAGGCCATTACCTCTCTCTTTGTGGAACCAACCTTTTTATCTCCAACCCATTGTGTATACTTTTCGTTTAACTCGTGATTGAGTGCATTTTTAGAGACGACCACTACTCCCGCTTCTAGTCCTAATCCTCCACATGTTCCAAGACGAATAAATCTACATGAAGGCTCATAGTAATTGCAACACCTTGAACGGACTTACCTGAAGTCCTTTGCTTTGGCATAGTACATGAGTTTCAACATCTCAGTGAGCATAATGCTCAACGATGGACATCCCATACCATGCTGAATAGGAATTTACTGTGGGAGTTAGCCACTTTATTACAGTCTATCTCACGTTCACCCATAGAACTTTTCCAGTTTTATAAAGTACAAATCGATCAGTCTTGGAGAGGTTCTCGCTGCATTCTAATTTACACTCTTTGGCGAAGGTTTCGGCAAACAGCTTCATTCTGTTTTGAGATCCACCAGCGCAGACAAACTGAAAAGTATTTTAGTTCACTTATTACCTTGTAAAAACCAAGATGTTGCCTATCTACGCATCTTGGTTTCGCCAAAAACTTTCGGCAAATCCATAGTCTTCCTTCCGAACCCAAAATGGAAAAGGAATTCCTTTTCAGCCTTATCAAGATCCTTGTTTTGTGGAGCGAATTCAGGATATTTGCCTAAATCAGTATGTCAACCAAGAACGCGACGACTGTGCTAAAACTATATTTTCTGAATACCTAGGCTCCATCAATCTCTGGCATTCTTACACATGAAACTACCGTGCACCGCTCTCAATGCTTTCCGCATACATAAAGCTAATAGGACTTACTCATACTTGATCGAACCCTCTGTAGGAGCTAAAATGTGCTGAAATGCGACGTCGTCAAGAAGTTGCTGTCTTCCTCTAAAAAAAACCCTACGTATAATTCAAAGCTCTATCGTTTCTAAACGTAAGCATGCTGTTGCGTGAGTAAGTGTCATCGTGACAGCCAGGTATCTTGGAGATACTTAATTCGAGCCGACGTCTCGGAACATTGGTTTCAAAAGTCTGGACGTAGATGATTGACATTTTGATCAGTTCACGATACCGCCAGGAATGGCTTCTTGCGTTACCAGCTTGGACTACTCGGAAGTACAGGCTGCATAAACAAAGCTTTGAAGCTTTGAAACAAACCAGCTTTGTATCCACCATGCAACCGAGTTTTTTCCTCGCATTTGTCCCGCTTATGCAGGGTCTGTTTTTCTTGTAAGATGTCTCCACGTTGCCCTATCTGAAGCAAGGTCTTCGTCTATACCAAGTTCTCGCATGTCGGACTTGATTCTGTCCATCCGCTCCATCTGTCTACCTCTGGGTCTTTTGCATGGTGCCTCCACAGCCAGAGCTAACTTCGGGATGTGACTTTTATCCCTTCTGCGCACATGCCCATACCATCGTAACCACTTCTCCTGCATTTTCTGGAGCTACTTTCATTTGCGCTCGTATTGTGTCATTGCAGATGTGATCCTTCAATGTGACTCCTAAGGTCCATCATAGCTTCCGTTTTTTCATGACACTGAGCTTGCGCTCCTCGTTCCATGTACACGGCCAGCATTCACTGCTAAACAGTGCTACGGATAAATGGTCCGGTACAGTTGGGACTTGAGATGCACTGGTATTCGCACTGAACTCCTGTCAAGCCTCTCCATTTCATCCATGCTGTGTTTATCCTGCTTGCGGCCTCCTCTTGTAAACCTCCTTCCGCAGAGATGCGACTGTCTAGGTACTTGTATGACTTTGTCTTCTTTAGCTTCTCACCATCGATGCTTATGGTACCACCAGTTTGTTTCCCCACTTCCATATATTCTGTCTTCCTGATGTTGGGCTTCAGGCCATACAAGTGGCCCTGTTTTTCCATTTTTGTACCTCGTCTTGTAGCTCCTTTCTGGTACTTGTTATCAAGACCACATCATCTGCTTAGAGAAGTGTCCAAGGAGGTTCACCTCTGAGCGATTCTATCATGGCGTTCATCATAACGATGAAGAGCAAGGGAGAGAGAACTGAACCTTGGTGTACTCCAACCTTGATTTGGAATTCTTTCGATTGCCCTGCAGCTGTTTGCCGTGGCGAGAAGCGTTGTGATAGATCAACATTATCCACTGAGCATACTCCTCTGGCACCCTGTGCTTCCGTAAGGCCCACCATATGACTTCATGGGGTGCCTTATCGAGGGCTTTCTCCAGGTCCGGGAAAGCTGCATGCAATTCCTTCTGCTTCTCTTTATATTTCTCCATCACTGTCCGATCGAAGTAAATTGCGTCGGTTGTACCTACTCCCTTTACGACCGCACTGATTCGGTTACAACTCTACGATACCTCGAACAAGCGTTTCGATTATTCGCTCGAAGATTTTTAGAGTGTGGTTCACTAGTCGGATTGGTCGGTAGGATGCGCACTCTGCTGTCTTCTTTGTTCTTCCATATCGGGATCGTCGTGCTGGTGTATCAGTCGCGAGATATACTCTTGCTCCTTATGATTTGACTGAGGAGCCTCATTAGTCATTTCGCTCCGGGTTGTTCACATATTTTCCAGAACTCGCTTGGTATGTCGTCTGGGCCAGTCGCTTCGCTATTCTTTGTTCTTCTTATGGCTAGCCATACTTCCTTTTCCGTGATTGCCGGTACTGGTCCTTCTATGGGACTGGCTTCTGGGATGGAGTTGATGGTGCGGTCTGTGATGGCCAATTTTTCGAAGTAGGTTCTCCATCTCTCGGTGATGTCCTCAGTTTTGTTAGCGTCCTACCAAGTTTGTCTTTGATATGGAGGAAGTGTTCCACGTTTTTTGTGGATTGCGCCCTTCTTCTCGCTATCCAGTATATCTCATGGTCTCCCTCGCGAGACTTTAGATGATCGTAGAGCTCTTTCAAGTACACCTATTTTCCATTCTTTACGGAAGCCTTCGCAGCGTGTTTGGCTTGTTGGTACGTCTGGCGATCGTCCTCCGATTTTGTCTTAGGCCATCGCTTAAACGCATCCCTCTTCTCCTTTATGGCTTTTGCACTTCATCGTTCCACCACCACGTTTCTCTATTTATCCTTCTTTTCTCTGGCTTTGTACTTCCCAGACCCATATTGCCACCCCGTGGACTCTATCTTTCAGGCTCGCCCAGCATCGCTCTGGGTTCTCTTGCAAGCTTGGTAGAGCTGTTAACAATGCTTGTTTCGCCATGTTGTTGGTTTTCAATCTCCACCATTTAATGCGTGTCGTGGTCTCTGTGGTCCTCCTGGTGTGCCCATCCATTGGAATTTTGATGAGCAGTGGTCTGTGTTGAGGTATGCAGCTGTGACCGGGAATGACTTTGCAGTGCTTAACGTTTTTGAGGTCACACTGCCGGATAGCCCAGAAGTCTATCTGCGTTCGTCGGTCGCCTCTCGCAGATGTAATGAGGTGATCATCCTTCTTGATGTATTATGTGTTCGCCAAGACCAGATCATGGGCTGAGGCGAATTCCAGAATGCGCTCACCTTCTTCATTGCATGTTCCGTATCCGTGGCCTCCGTGACATTTTCCGGCTTCTCCTCGCCTTTTTTTCACATGTCCGTTGAGGTCTGCTCCTAGCAGGAGTGTCTCTTCCAGTAAAATTGAACTGATGTGATCATCTAGTTCCTGCCAGAACGCGTCTTTTTCATCATCGTTGCATCTGACTCGTGTCGCATAGGCGGTAACTACTCAAATAACCTGTTTCCCAGCATCTACCTTTATGCTCATCAGGCGATCGCTTATGCACTCAAAGTAAACTATATTGCTCCTTAGATTCTCCGAGACAGCTATACCGAACCCGTTTCTGGTGCAGATGGCACCGTTATAGGGAGCTTATAACCATCTTCGATGTCGCGTGACTTTGCCCCGCTCCACTTCGTCTCCTGTATGCAGGCTACATCGACTCGCCGTCTCTTCAGAAGATCTGCTTACTCTCAAGAACGAGAAGTGAGTGTACCCATATTGTGGTACTAGACGGAAAGTCTGCGATGCCTTGGATCGTTTTCTGATGAACCTGCCGCTTTAGCCGTCCCCCTTCACCTTGCTGAGACGGTAACCCTCGCCCACTATTCGCATTCGTCGGGCTTGAATGCGCGTCGCCTCCGGGGGACGCCCTAGCCTTTACTCGAGCTACTTTATGAGACATGTCTGCATTTGAGATGCGACGGGGTGTTCCTCAGCCGGCTTGTCGCATGCCTTTCTTTGGAAGGGCAGCTTGACGCTGATTGTGAGCAGAGTTTTCACCGCAGATGTTAGGCTCAGGGTGGAATTGAACCCGTGACCTTCAGCACTGCAATGCTACGTTCAGCACTTACGAGACTAACTCTGCTCATCCACCATGCAACCGAGTCCTACGTCGAGAGTCGACGAACGTCACTGCGTGATCATGGTCGGCATACTTTGGAATACGCGGAAATCTTTCGGATAACCGAATTATCGAATATATTAGAAATCGGAAATATCGAATAATTGAAATTTGAATATTTTCGAAAGGAAATATGTGGAATATTTTCCAAAAGTGTCGAATAATCGGATATCGAACACTTTCGAAGTAAAAAAATTTCGAATAATCGAATGCCGATCAATCTTTAACTCTAATGTGCTTTACAGGACGGAACATGGAATTTTTACAAGGATATCAAACATTTTCCGAATAGAATTTTTGCGAATAATCCAATATATACGAGAAAATTCGAATAAACTAATATTTGCATTTAAAAGAACAACGTGGGAGAGCCTGCGCTGCGTTGTTTTAAGCGCCACGTCACGCCAGGTGCGCACAACGTGGCGGAAGTCCGAAACGAGGCGGCACCTCACCGATTCACGCAATCCAAGTCACGTTGAGGGAAAACATATGGGATGATATCGAGATTATATTCGATTCGGTCCATAGCATACTGACCAGGACTTTCAGGTGCGGTCATGCCACACAGAAGCAAAATTGGCTAGGGATTACTGTTGAGAGACAAGCTTTGTTCTTGTCATTCATTTTTGAATCTCTTGCGGGGATCCACGCTGCTTCGAGCACATTTTAGGACAGGTTACACCATATGTTATAGATGAGACTGAAATCTTTGTTAGAAAAGTGCTTGACCGGCATAGATCTCCGCAAGAAATGCAAAAATGTTCGTTTATCAGCAGTGATCTCTTGCCATATTAGCTCTAGTATAGCACATAAAAGCTTTGAGTCAGTGTCCCAGTGATATCCACTGAAATTCTGACGTGCGGACTCGCTGCATGCTAAATAGCTGAACAGGGAAGGTATATGACTCGCAGTGGAGTTTCCCTAGGCCCCGGTCAGACTTCACGCGACTTAATCGTCGCGATCTAATCGCCAAGATTTCCATTCATTTTCATTTCACATTCAAAAATTTCGGGTTGGAAAAGTATCACAACCGAATGCAAGTTGATCGGCATGGAATGATGTTGTAACAGTTGTCTCGTCGCGACTCAGTCGCGACGATCAGATCGCGTGAAGTCTGCCCGGGGCCTTATGAGGTGTATATCACTCGAAAGGTTTTTGAGCGCTGTTTTCATAACAACTTTCCAAATCTGCTTACCGGTTTACTGAAAAAGTTAGAGGCACTTTTTCCGCGTCCAATTCGCATGGCAGGGTACTTTGTAAATGACCTAAATTCGTAGTAAATGCGAATTTGGTCCAAAGTTACATGCGCAAATGTCTGAGATATATTTACTGTGCATAGAAAAATTGATGGTATTAGTTTTAGAGCTACTCTGCCGCCTTAT